TTTTGACTGAGTTATGCATTTTTAGTTTTCGATGAAAGTAGCGAAAGGTAGATTATTTCGTCTAGTATAGCTTTTCAGTCTATTTTTGAAGGTTTTTCGAAAGTAAATAAATATTTCTTTCCTGGTATATCTCAAGGTGAAAAAAGAGTGTTACACTGAAGGTCGTTTTCAAGTAGAAAGAGCAATTTTGTTGGCGTTGTTATCAATGACTTACTCTTTTACAGTAGTTGTTAAGAGCGTAAATATATAATCATTGATAATAACGCTTAAGAGACTCCTTGAGACAATCGAGAAAGCTGTGAAAAGACGATAAAACCTTCAAAAAATAAAATCTTTTTACATTTGATTATAAGCTTTTAACTTTTAGAAGGTTTTGCTTGTTGAGAAAATAATTTTTAAGAAAAGTATCAATAAATTTTCTCCAAAAATTGAACAATCTCGTATATCTTGTTGTTTTAATTGTAGCATACCATTACCATACATTCGACTTGTTAATCTTATATATGATTCGAATCCGTGCAAAAGCTCAACAAAATCAGATATTGTTCAGATTTTAGAAGAAATTTTTCTTTGCTGAAAAAACTAAACAAAGTATCATTAGAAAAAGAAAAAAAGGTTACATTTTAGTAAACCAATTACTATGACTACAAATTCCATTGGCCTAGAGGAACGTTTAGCATGTCTGATAGAGAATTTCATTCTCTATAGAATGCACTACAGTACATTAAAATACAAGGTTCGAAACAGGTGGAAAAATGCTCGACGATGAGTACCATTTTTACCATTAGTATAATCATGAAAATCGGTCTTAAGATATTTTTAGTGCTATAAAGTCATGTTTCATCACAAATAGATAACAGCATGTCAAGAAACATGTTTATGAATAGGTAGGATGTTAATAGTCGGCTGTAGAAAACAAGTAGTAAATAATTGCAGCATATGTTATTAATCATCGACTAAAAAACTATCTAATTTGTTGTAGTTTCAGGAATTCATCAGCACCGAATAGAAGATGACCATGTTCATCGGTTGCAGGTTCCACTTCACCTGCAGCAGTCTCTGGTGTCCAGCGAATATTTTTCTGAACGCCATCATCGAACTTGTTGATTAAATAAGCAATTTGTTATTCCGAAAGTCGCATAACTTTTCGTCGTTTTGATAGAGCCCATCCTTGCGGTAATATAATATGAGGTAATGATGAACATTGTTGTTGACGGAGTAATTGAAGGGAGATAGAGATCATTTCTCGTTCATCAACTTTTTCTAATTTCGACTGATATAGCTGCATTCTTTCATATAATTAGTCTTTCATCAAAAATCGTTCTTCTATAAAAATATGTTTTCTGGATTGAATATGATTCATGAGATTTACATTTCGGATGTATCTTTTAACACAACCATCGTCTGCACATTCATGAATAGCAGTGAACGTTCGAGGGCTTTCGTCAGCTGTTGTTATTATTGTTTGAGCTGTTGTACGACTTCGGTTTCTCGGTATTGTATTTGACCCCACTGTTGTGAAGATGAAGACGATACATTCACAAATTTAATTTTTGGTATTTTTTTTTGACAATTCAAACCATTCCACGATATTGTTTTACCACGGCCTATTAGCCATGAACGATGAAAGCGTACGCCGGTAGAATCAAATAATAAATTGTTGACGAAATTTACTGCAACTACTTTTGGAAATTGATATGATGATTTAGTTTCATCTGGTACAAACTGGCATTCAAAAACTTCAGATTTTTATTCGGTTTACATGCTTTATCAAATTCAGCCGCAGTTGTGACATTATGATCATGCCCCTCATTTAAATAACGACGACTATGACGTTTGATAATTGCCGAATACTGATCACATAGCCCTTTACTACCCTGCGGATCATAAAAGTCCATACGTTTTACATTTATATTTGTTTCTTTTGATATTTCCAGCCACGACAGAATTGTTTGTGCCGAATGATAGTCGGTTCGGACAAACGTTTGTCTGATATTCGGACCAAGAGATTTAATTTGTGATAAAACGTCTGAAAATATACTATACTTCAGCGTTTTGTGAAGACTATTCAAATACATATGCGAAAATCTTCTGATTAAACAATACTTTTTCTTTTCTTGATTCTGCTTCATCACCACTTCTTTTTTGATCATCATCTTCATCATCACGCGAAGCTTGTTGTTCTTCTTATTTTTTTTCAAAACAACGTAATGTGTCAGCTTATACCACGCTTTCCAGAGAAGTCGGACTGAGCTTCTCTATACCGTTCGGGAAGTCATTGCATGGTCCAATCGGCATATGAATGACAATGTCAACTATCAGAGCTTTTTAAAATGTTTAACCATCAGACATTTGAGGAAATCATTTTGGAACACGTAAAGAAGCATGTACCAGATAAAATGATAACTATGAAATCTCGTGATAAGATCTGGTTCACTAAGGAACGGTGCTTGCTATATCTAAAGAAGTCCAGATTGTTTCGGAAGAGTAAGAGTTCACAGTTTGCTTATGATTGTTATCTACAGACAAACAAAAAACTTTACGGAGGCATGTATTGCGGCGAAAAATAATTATTTCAAAAATAAATTAACGAAAACATTTGTGTCACATATAGAACTTCGTAAAACATATAATGGGATGTAGGAGAGTTTCGGTTGTTCCAGCTTTGAAGAATTCTAACAATCAAGTTGTAACTGAGCCAAGGGGAAAAATGGAATTGTGCCGATTGACCCTATAATTGCCATCCGCCAATGTTGAACTCGAGGATTTTACAGTAAAGCCACCAGATCTTTAAATCAACTTCGAAAATTGGGTGTGAGTCGTACTTGTGCTCCAGGTATAACAAACAAAGCGCATGTTAAAAAATATGACATCATCGATCCTAACACCTATGGCCAAATTATTCATGACTCTTTTACACCGACAACTTTTCCTACTTACTAAAAAATGGTTTTGTTAATTCCATGTATAAATCAGGTGACACTAGGAAAAGTGTTAGAATGGATTAAAGATTATCTCACTGGTCGCAGAATTCAAACTGTCCTTGAAAGTCATACTTCTACTAAACTACCTGTGAATAAAAGTGCTCAACAGGGTTCAGTTTCCGCTTTTGTTCCTAGTTGACATCGATGATTTGCCATGGGGAATTGAAAGTATCATGAAATTGTTTGCTGATGATGTGATCTTATTAAGGGTGTTACAGGGGTTGCTTCCCAAGATTTTTCAATATACTTCAAGCTGGAGAGTTCGGGTTTGTTTGTTCTAAGCTAGATACCCAACTACATGGTCTGACTGCCGCTGATTTTTCAACTAAGTCTTTATTGGTTTCCCAGGCAACCAACAATCTTCAAAACCCGAAAAATCCTTCCCGATTTCTAAAAATCCTCAATTTGACAAAAACGTAGGCCTAATTCAAAAACTGGCGCCGATCAGACCATGTAGTTTCTTTTCCTCCTTTACACAAAAAAGAATGAATTCTCTACGACAAACCGCTACTAAAAATCTTGGAAAATACTGCAGGTGTAACTCCTATATAGTGAAAATGTTGTATTAAACGCTGTATAAAATACGCGATTTTAGGACTTGTAGGAAAACGCCTGTAACTTTTTGATGTACGGTCATACAGAGTTGTACGAGATCTTATTTTGATCAGAAAAGTCTGCTCTACAAGTCTGTATGTTCAGAAAAATTTTAATTGCATAAGTATCCAGGAAAAAGCTATTATTTGACTATTCGATTTTCCGAGGCTCCTAGAAAGCTTACTCATAATCCCCGAAAACTCAATTCTGTAACCAAAAGCAATACAGATTCTGAAAGTAGACACTTCAGACTAACTTTCCATGTGCGTATCTCAAAACAGAGGTATCTTACAAAAAATATGCTGAGAATCATCTATAAATCTTCTGTTCTGTCTATATTTAATTATGATTGTATCATCTATCCATTAACAACAGATATAAACCTAAGAAAACCAGAGGCACTTCAGTATCATGCTGCTGTGACAAAAGCAGCATGATACTGAACCGAACAGGATATTTTAGGATCATGGACAGAGAGTGAAACGGAGACTAATGATACGAGTGTTGGTTGAGTTTGTTGCTGATATGGAGAGACTAGCTGAGACGGTTGTGACTACTGAGGGACGATTGCATGAGATGAAGATGGAAGGGGTGTGAGTCCAGCCGTGAATGCAGATAATATAGCTTCTCATTTCCCCGACTCTCAAACTCAAATCTGTCTAGTCTCTTTGACACCCTGTTGTATTTCACCTAGCTGCTCACTTGTTTCTTGCACCTGAACTCTCATTAGTGTCAGGTGATTGTATTACTATCATAATTGAACTATTGTGTAATATGTTTATGTTGTAATGTCGGCGAATGATAACTTGGTTTCATTTACTTGTCCTGTCATCTGCACTAATTCTGAATGTGTTTTCGTTGTTTGTTGTTGATGTAAAGCGTCCAGTTGTTTGATATGATCGTCCGATTTGCAGTCTCTTAGCGGATTGGGCAGAGGATTTTGAAGTATTTACGAGTAACATTGTTTTAAAGAATTACAAAATGATTCGAAGAATGAAAATCGACAGCGCATAATAAATCGGGAACGACGGAATTCGTATAAAATAGCAAATCATTCTTGACTATTTTAGTATCAATCAAGAAGTATTTTCACGACAATTTTTAAGACTTACTAAATTAGTTACGTAAGATAACTAACTGCCGGAAGATAAAAACGAGAATCATCAAGGCGAGCTCGTCGGATGTGAATAAATTACATTCTTGACTGAATTCTTATTATATCTTCTAACTGTCTTTTCTTAAATGGACTGGAATCTATATGTCGATATACAACCCAAATGCCAAAGAGCAGCTGAGACATGAACAATGAGAGAGAGATAGAATATGACTGGACAGAACGATCGTACAAGAACCGATGGGAGGAGTGGTCATTGTTCTTTAAATATATAGTATAAATACTCTCTATCCAGCCATACATAATATTATTTTTTCTGAATCAACGATAAGCGACGATTCTTTTATAGCAATTTCTTTTTCTATACGCGATAGCTAAAATATTTTGTAGATTATCGACCAGCCGTTGAAAATCTTTTTAATTTCTTACAAGGAATTGTCTATATCTTTCAGTTTCTTTTGTTTTGGCAGAATCATGATGATGGACAGTGGTCTTATGAATTTTGGCCATAGTAGTTTGAAAAATAGTTTGGCTACGTTGGCTACAACATTAATTATTCAAAAATTTCAAATGAATAGTTGTTATTATGGTTTATTCTATGGTTTGATGATTGCACTCGTTGGATACATTATTGAAAATCAAATAAATATTTCATCATTCAATTTATTATCAATTTCCCTATTATTTGTTTTTGTTCTAATATTTGTTGTTGGTCTGTTATGTTTATTCGGTCTTAAAAAGTATTTTGATAAATGTTCAAAAAGTGTTTATATTAATATTTATGATGAAAATGAAATAAATAAATTTCGTTCATACATGGATTATAATCCCGATTATTATGAAAAAGAATACAATTTAGATGTTGGTAAGCATAATTAAATAATTATGTAAAAATTTATAAATTATTTCTTTACTTTACAGGTGATAGTGATTTAATTGCTCAATATTCATCATTAAGTAGACTTGATGTATCTTCATCGAACACGTTCATATTGTCAAAAATGAAATCATCTAGTATTGATGCACCTTTATATTTTGATGATAAATATTTAAAAATAAAAGGTTATTTAAAATGGTGTAAATCTGTTAAACAAACAGAAAAAATGGATTCAATAACACAGAAATCAATACAACAACAGTTTCATATTAAATATCTTGAATTAAGAATATTAAAAAATCGAAGTGAAGATAAAATTGATGTTTTATCAATAATGAATAAAGTTACAGATTATGTAAGAATGAAAAATAAAGATTCGGTTCAATTAACATATATTAAAGTAATGAAAGATAGTAAAGGTGAATTACAATCGCATTGTGTCATATATTATGATCAAAAACGAATCGATTTTAAACAAAGAGAGACACTGTATATGTCAACATTTTTTCATCAAAAAAAAGATCAATTATGGGAATTGATTAAAAATATTGATCAAAATCCACAATTATTTGAATCAATTGGATGTGCAGCAAGACAAAATCTCTTGTTTTATGGTCCACCAGGAACAGGTATGATATTTATGAACACTTATTCACAATCATGTCAGTGTGCTCATTTTCTAGGAAAATCAAATTTTATTTATCGTATGGCTATTTGCCTTGAACGACATATTGTTAGTTTAGATCTGCGCGATTATACAAATAAATTAGACGTTTATAAAAATATTCAAAAACCAAATGTCGTTAATTATGATTATGCAGCATCTGGTCATGGTTCATCTATCATTTTATTAGAAGAATTTGATATGTCGGTTACACATTTATATAACAAACAATTTAAAGACGATGATAAAGTAATTTCAACGCCAGCAACATCAACAACTGACGCTAAACAAGTATTAGTAGTACCACCACCAAATCTCAATCCATTTACATTAAGAGATTTATTAGAGATATTTCAAGGTCTATTTTTATTTTGCAGTAAAACCAAAATCAAATGTGTTTGTTTTTCTTATAGGTCCTATTCCATTTCATGGTATGCTGATTATGGCTACCACCAATAAATATGATGATATTAAAGTAATGTTACCAGAATTATTTCGTGCTGGTCGTTTAACACCTGTTTATTTTGGTTATATAACAAAAGATATTCTACAAGAAATGTGTGAATATTATTTTAAACAACGACTCATTGATTTATATTTGCCAGAAATTATTCGTATTCCAACATCAGAAATTATTGAATTAGTAATGAAATCAATTTTAAAACAAACAATTGAAGAAAAATTTCAATTTTTTCAAAAAGAATTAATTGAACTCATTGACAATATTGCATGAGTAATTATTTTTTTGTGAGTGCATGCATTCTAGTGTATTTAGTCTCTATATGATGGAGCTGTCAAGTTTCATTCATAACAAGATACTATAATATAGATGCAGAATGAGAACAACAACCGCACTCTTCACACTGTTTCACACTCTTATCAAAGTTCATGTACGAAATAGGCGTCTTTTCGTAGGAAAACCGTGATTTATATTTCAGTCAAAGAAGATTAAGCTCATCAGCATATAATTCAGCAATAAATTTTTTGTAGTGTACCTCTCGCCAGAACAGAAGAACCGCCTGGTCCTCTATTCTGTCTGGCAACCGCATCCGTAAGCTTGGTCTGTGACTGTGGTCAACTTTCGTGGCCTGCTATTAGTTCAACGGTAGAAGGCCACGGTCTTTTGTTTGGCTTTCATATCTCAGAATCGACAGTAGTCAAAAAAGTTAGCGTAAAAGAAAAAAATATTCAGAAAACAGCTTTTTGCTTAGCGACCGAAAAACGTTTAAAAAGCTCTATTACAAAATTATTACCATTTGATAACATTGTTGATTGTTTACAGCGTGCATTGACACTAGGCAATTGGAATGTATATCTGTGAGATATACATTCCAACTGCCTAGTGACAATGCACGCGGTAATTTTAGTTTTGCGACAAGGGCTTTTCCTGTAGTATGAAAATCACGCGTGATCATGTGAGCTGCTAATTTTTGAACTGATTCAAGTTGACTTTCCAAATTAGCGAAATTAATGTCTTACAAAGCACCGGCGTAATCTAATTTAGCTAATATGCAGGTTTTATAAATTTGTAGACGAATTGAAGAGGGTGCATTTCTAAATTATCAGTACATAGCGCCTAGTCGTTTTCTACCATTTAGTACTGTGTGTGGTGAAGAAGAGAGTAGTGCGATGTGTTTCCATCCTTACATTAGACTACCGTGTCTTTCATCGCATATGACTTTGATCACTAAGTCGCGTTACGCTGGAAACTGCTAGTCTAAAGAGAAAGAAAAAGTATTCATTTATACAAGGAGGTAGAAAGTCCGGGAAAGAATCAAGTCTGCGACAGAACACGTCCTATATCACTAAAGTAATTTGCAACAGTTATTGAAACGTGCAGGCAATCGAAGTTATGCAAAGGAAATTTTGACAGCTTCGTTTGCAGCTTTCGTCAGTGGTCAAGGATTATCTGTCCGAATGAATAAAGGTCTTTTCTTATAAATTTTCAACGGAACAACATGAAAACGTGCCGCATCTAACAAGATTTTTTTCTGATGATACTCTGCTGTACAACCGGGATCGAGATCGACAGCAACTGGTTGCATCCTTGTTCTGTGATTTAGAACGAGTGTTCTGGTGGTCTGTGAGATGGAAAGTTCCACTGAACAGTGGTAAATATACAGGTTGTTCCAGATATCTCATGAGAAATAAAACATGAATATCTCCGCCCTTTGTTAACTAAAATTGATGTTTGTTTCTGTGTTGGATAGAGGGAAGTTTCAAGTTTTATTTTATATGATTGAAACTTCTTGTCTAGTAAGCTTCGGTGCGAAAAAATAATAAAACTTGCTGCGCATGTATTCTGCATACGTAATTAGAATCGTGAGTAGAGACTGTGAAGCTTATCGTAATTGAACAAAATCTTTACCAGAGCCGTACTATGTCTCATTCTGTAGAATTCAGATTGCTCTACAAGTCCACATATATGAATGTTTTCTTCGATTTGCAGTCTTATCATAACCAAATATTGTCTACTTATTAACATGACCTACGGATTCTGGCTTCTATAGTAATCTCAGGCAGTCTCGTAAGTCGTTTTATAGACTTTCAAAGTATTCCACTTTAAAGTACTATCTCCTTTGTGTGGAATTCCAGTATTAGTTTATTCTTTGATTAGTTAATTTTATCTCTGATAGTTTTTATTACGTTTTCCCACTTTCCTGGATGCTAGTACAACGCAACTATGCCTAAAGAAATCCACACTCTATAGCAATTTTTGAATAAAAGCTTATAATTATTTTATTATGTGACAGCAGACCTCGTCCACGCCAAAGATTCACTTCTGTTTCATTCATGAAGCTTTTCAGTACGTAATTTATTAAGAAAGAGTTCCAAAAACCTCAGTTTCGTCGTCATAAAACCAAAACTTTTTGCTAGCATTAATAAAAAGTTCCAATCATATCAAATAAAACTCGAAACCTCCCTCTATCCAACAAAGAAACAGACTTCAATTTTAGTTAACAAAGGACAGAAATATTCATGTTTTATTTCCGACGACATATTTGGAACGCCTGTACAGCAAAGTTTTTCGAAAAAGAAACTGGATCATCACGAGTGTTTTTATTGAACAGTGTTCCCTTATAACTTGTTTCTAAACAAAAGCATTTAGGACTAATCCTCTCCGAGGATTTAAGCTGGCTCCCCACATACAGAGCGTCGAGAATAAATGTAAAAAAATTCTACATCCGGAGAAAAAATTTAAATATACCTTCAATACGTCCGTTCTCGATCAGTTATATATATCCTTTTCTCTCCAAACTATAACTTATGCGGATAGTGCCTACACAAATACACACGAAACACATCTACAGGAAGTACATCGTCTGCAATACATATGGTTAGGCATCGAACAAGATAGACTAAGAGTGCCATCTATCAGCAAAAAAAGTTGGGCTATCGTCCTCACTACTCATATTGATTATCGCCCTTTTAATTATTAATATTCTTCTAATTATATTATACGAGAAATACTGTTCGAAGAAATTATATGTCAATGTGCGTGTTAAGTAAAATGAAATCTGGTCAGTTTCTAAAAACACCTTTAAAAACAAAAGTTTTCATATTTCCTGTTTCTACGTCGCGGTTTAGAAAATTTTGTTTCTTCTCGTCTAGTCATAATTAAGATAAAGAATTTTTTGTTCTGTATTTAAAACACTTTTTCTAAACAGAACATTTGATTGCCCTTCGTTTCTTTCTATCTTACTGCACTTTTTATTCATGTTTTATTTCAGATGACATATTTGGAACACCCTGTACAAAGTTTTTTCCAAAAAGAAATCGGAGCACCACGAGCGTTTTTATTGAACAGCGTTCCATATTCCATAAAACAGTAGTTAAGTTTTGACATAGAAAATTGGGTAGCTCTATTGCCACCACCGGTGGTGTCAACAACGAGCTATTGCCACCACCAGGAGGTGTCAATTAGGAGCTATCGCCACCACCGGTGGTGTCAACTAGAAGCTATTGCCACCACCAGGAGGTGTCAATTAGGAGCTATTGCCACCCCCAAGCAAAATCAAAGAGTAGGTGGTGTCAACTACGGCTATTGACAGCACCAAGCAAAATCAAAGAGTAGGTGGTGTCAACTGCGGCTATTGACACCACCAAGCAAAATCAAAGAGTAGCCGCAGTTGACACCACCTACTCTTTGATTTTGCATGGTGGTGGCAATAGCTCCTTGTTGACACCACCAGTGGTGGCAATAGCTGTAGTTGACACTACCTAGTGGTGGCAATAGCTCCTTGTTGACACCACCGGTGGTGGCAATAGCCATTCCGTAGAAAATTTCCCATTTCTATTGCAAGATGACAACTTGTTGGGTCGATATTTAGATTTAAAATATAGAATGACTGCTAGATGAGGATAGATGAGAGCAGGGGAATTGGTTTCGCCGCGAACTTAACTTCTGCTATTTTTCCTGAATTCTCCGCGAAAGCGAAACTATCAATATATACTTCAGTATGAAAAGATGCCATCAGGTCTTGACCACAAGACATTGGACACTCCACGTCTTGTTCTGTTAAACATTTGGAAATATATGACCGAGGTCTTTATTCATTCAAACAGATGAAAAACCGTGAACTTCTGATCTTCTAAATAGAACATTTGACTGCCCTTCGTTTCTTTGTATCTTACTGCACTTTTTTCTATCGATTAAAGCTCTAATTATTAAAAGTTATTTATCCCTATTTTTGATTTATTTTTCAGGTTTTCTGAATAAATCTTCTCATGAAAGAAAATACAATCATATATTTAGTTAATCATAAGGAACATTGATATTGCTTTTTCTCTTCTTTCAAAAAAAATTGGTCCATAGAAACACCATAAAGTTTGAAGTTAATAATTTAAAAGTGAAGTAACAGAACGGAGCATAACATTAACAATGTTATAAACAACCCTAAAGAAAAACGCTCTACGATAAATATGGATTTGCGAAGCTTTCACTGTTTCTTATCTGTTTAAATGAATAAAGGC